CAGTGCCTAAAGGGGCTCAAGGAGAGCTGGAGAAGAACCTGGGACAAGGGATGGAGGGACAGGACAAGGGGGAATGGCTTCCCACTGCCAGAGGGCTGGGTTAGATGGGATAGTGGGGGGAAATTGTTCCCCGTGAGGGTGGTGAAGCCCTGCCACAGGATGCCCAGAGAAGGTGTGGCTGCCCCTGGATCCCTGGAAGTGTCCCAGGCCAGGCTGGATGAGGCTTGGAGCAACCTGGGATAGTGGAAGGTGCCTCTGCCCATGGCAGGAGGGTTGGAATAAGATGAGCCTTAAGGTCTCTTCCAACCCAAACCATTCTGGATTTCTGTTGCTCTATGCCAAGCACCACATACGCCAGAGGCAGGGCCTTCAAGATGAGTGATGTGGATAACAGTTGCCCAGACTGGCACTTAGAAGAGAAGTGAGGCTAAATACACAACACACTACCTTGAGGTACTGCTGCAGTGACCTGAACAGAGTTAAGGCTGTCTGTGAGGTTTCCCCTCTAGAACTGTGATTGGAACCCCTTAGCTCAGGAGTCAGGACAAGCTGAGGCAAGGCTACTGCACACCCAGAGAAGAAGGGAACCCCCTCACACAGCACTCATATACCCCAGGGAGCCCCAGGGAAGCCCCACTTACCCATGCTGATCACAGCAATCTCTCCTGAGGAGGAGTTGTGAGGCCCCACAAAGACACCAGATACCAGCAGGAGGGAGTCATCGGAGTTGAACTGGGAGAACTGGGTGTAGCTCCAGTTGTATGGCCTCATGTTGGAGCTGTGCTGCAGGGAGATGTCCAGATCATTGCTCCAGATCTACAGAGATGGACAATCAGGAAGCTGCTGAGAAGCCTGAGACTAGTTCTGCTTTATCTGTTCTGCCAGTACTCACCAGGACATGAAAAACAAACATTATCAAAAACCCCATTTAACTGCCTCCTACTCACTACATCCCTGTCCCTTCCCCTGACAGAAAATGGAGAGGGGCTAAATGAAGAACTGCTGCTCCACTGGTCAGAGGAGATTGAGTTCATGCAGTGAATGGTGCTACCACAGCTGGGTTTCCGGCATGTTCAGACAGATTCTTCCCAGGACAACAACTCAGGGAAAACATGATCCACTGCAGTGGATCATTATCTTCCTAGTCTTCATCAGACCCATGGCACAACAGGGCACTGATCTTCACCTAGAAAGCAAGGCACCTTGGCCACCTACACACACACACTCTGGAGCTGGAATCCACAGCCCCCAAGGCTATATTTGCAAGAGTCATTAGTTCTGTGGCTTAGAAGACAGCTCAGCACCCACAGGAACCAGCCCAAGTCCAGGGATGTCTGGTCAAACCTCTCCAAATATTTCCCAAAAGCTGCTCTCAGGGCTAAGCCCCACTGGACCAAGGCTGCAAGGGCTGGGCAGGGCACCTACCACTTTACCTTGACCGTGCAGTCTTTGGAGCATGATGCAAACAGGCAGCCAGAGTGGGAAAAGCTCAGGTGCAAAACTTGGTCATTGTGCTCCTTCAGAGCCTGCACTTCCACGCAAGGGATGGTGTCGTAGAGCCTCTGGAACTCATCGTACCAGGAGACAGCACCTGCAGCACAGAGCATGGACACGGGACGGGAGTGTGAGTGGAGGGGAGCAGAGCTGGGCTAAACACGGCATCAGGCTTTAATAAATCAATCCTGGCTCCTGAGAGCAAGGCCAGAAGCTCTTCTGGGGCACCAACCCAGGGCTGTAGCTCAGCTACCAATCCTCAGCATTTTCCTCAGCAGCTTCCCCACTCCCAAACACAAAAAACCTTTCTTCCAGTACACAGACTGCTCCACACCACATCTCTGCTTTCCAAACCAGCAGAGCCCCTGCTGGAACAGCCTGCACAGAGGCTCCGGCTGTCAGGCCAAAACCTTGCTCAGGACAAAACACTCCTGAGAAGGAACATGTGTTCGAGCACAACCAGATCAACCAGGTGGGACAAGAGGAAAGCTGGGAAGCTGCTCCTCACCATACCCAGCTCTGCACTGATTATCTCTGTCTTGTCTAGCGCAGAATTAAGACGGTTCCAGAAAGGGTCTGGGACCAGGAAAAAAACATTTCCATGAGGTAAGAGACTTGAAGAAATGAGACAGAAGAACAGAAGCTGGGCACAGTGTGCTGAGCACAGCCTGGGGCACACTCACAGGAGTCTTACTGATGGACAATAAAAGGTAAATAAAGATTTTTAATGAAGGGCCCAGCCAGGCAGCCTACAGACTTCTTGTAGCAGCAAATCCCAGAGAGCCAAAGAGGATTAGCCATGCATATGGATAAGGGCCAACTTTCCTAGTGACACTGAACAGGACTGAAGGATTTTTTGGAACACGCTGCAGCCCAGGAGGCACCTGGAGGGACCAGCTCGCTGCCAGCACATCCCACTGCTGCGTGAGGCTGGGCGCTTCGACCCCCTCTGAGCCTCCTGGTCCCGGCCTATCCAGCTGTGAAAAGCCTGAGCAAGCCCCATTTGGAAGCAAACCCAACATTTCATCTTACAGACCCACTCCATACCATTCCTCTAACCATGGAGCTGTCAGGGCAGCCAGGCTGGCAGAGGTATTCCCCAAACTCATGCTCCAGCCTCTGCCCACGCCTGCCAGCTGTCCCTATCCTGCTGCCTCGTGCAGGGTGCCCACAGCTCCAGCAGCCAGGGAGGTGCCTGAATATGTTACTGAGCTACACCAACTGCTTGATCCTAATTAATGCTCAAGAACAGGGCTGGCAGCTGACTAAGCAGCTCCAGGAGGAGCTGGGAGGGAACAAGCCTGGTCAAAAGGCTTCAGGAAAACCCTAAAGAGAACATCCTCAGCACCATGGAGCTCCCCGGGTCTGCAAGAGCAAAGTCACACAGCCTGGAGGAATCCCATTGACATCTACCTCCTCCCAGAGCCCTTCTGCAGTGGTGCTCCTGCTGCAAGGAGATCAGCTCCCACTGCCTGGTTCTTGGCATTTCCTCCTGCCCTTCTGTAGCCACTGCAACTCACAACCCAGGATTCAATTCCCTCAGCCACAGCTGGGGATCCCCTACACAGCCCTCTCACACCCTGCAGCACACTGGGAATGGGCTGCTTGGAGAGAAACCCGCCTGGGCAGCAAGAGCTCCTGCTGCTGGGTCCCAGCTGGTGTGACAGAGCTGGGTCATCCTTCCAGACTGCACCAAACTGCTTCCAGCACTGGGTGCTCAGCCGGGAGCAGAGCTGTGATCACACGACTGCCACCCCCAAGCCTTCTGACAGCTTGGCCAAGGACAGCCCTGCCAGGCTCTGTCAGCTCCTGTTGTGAGCCCAGATCAAATCCAACCTGCCCTGGTGCTGTGGGGCAGCTGCTGACTCAGCACATGTCCCCAGTGCTGTCACAGGGCCCCACATCCCCCAGACAGGCACAGGTGTCCCTGCACAGTCCAGGCCCTGGGACCCTCAGAGCAGCCAGTGGTGCTTGTTGCAGCGCCTATTCCAGTTGGAGAAGTGACAGACCTGCAGCAGAGGGGCTGCCAAGTCCCAGAAAGGCCAAGGCAGCAGTGATTCCACAGATCCCATGCAGGCTGGGATGCAGCAGCATGTGGTGACACACTGCAACTCCCGGGATCTCCCTGGGCAGCAGCTACAGAGAGCACCTGCCTAGAGAGCTCAGAAACCTCTTTTCTGTGACAAGAAGGGAAAGGCAAAGCATTTTCAGCCCTTTGACCCCCTGGCAGACCCAGAGCCCTTCCCGTGCACATCTCAGCCCATGACACTGTGACACAGCTGAGGGGACGCGGTTCGGGGTTTCCACCACCCCGACAGCAGAGGGCAGAGGAGGGGAGTGCAGTCTCCGTCCCGGGCTCACGGCAGCTGCCGTCCCCCGGGATCAGCCCCGTGCCCCGGAGCGCACCTGGGTGCCGCGGCACATCCCGGGACACGCGGTAGTAGCGGTAGAAAAGCTCCTTCCACAAGAATTCGTCGCGAGCCACGGCGCGCCACTGTTGGCAGACGAGCCCCACCGAGAGCACGTCGGCATGGTCCAGGTACAGAAAGATCTCGAACAGGACGGTGTCCGGGAGCCGGGGGCAGCCCGCGTCCATCGTGTCATTCTGCCGCCGCGCCTGGAACGGAGCGGAGTGCTGCTGTCAGGCTCCAGCAGGGGACCCGCACCCGCCGAGGGCCCGCGGCCCTCCCGAGCTTTGGCCGCTGCTCCCTTCGTGCCGTGCCCGGTGCCCTGGTGCCTCCCGCGGCTAGTATCCCGCCCGTGCCGTGCCCGGCTTCCCCGGTGTCCCCCTTGGCTAGTGTTCCCCCTCTGCCGTGCCCAGTGCACCCATGGCCAGCGTTCCCCCCGTGCCGTGCCGTGCCGTGCCCGGTGTCCCCGCTGTCCCCCCGCACCTCGGCGGCTCCGCTGCCCCCGCCCCGCCGCGCCACTTCCGGCCGGCGCTCCCGGTGCTCCCCCGCCGGCCAATCACCGGGCACGTCCGGCCGCAGCCCCGACGGCTCGAGCACAGAGCTCCCCGCAGCGTGCCAGACGCAGCGAGGGGAGCGCAGCGCGATCGCTCAGAATGCCCCGGAAGCGGCAACGCTGCCCCACCTCGACCACGCCCACCACAGACCACGCCCCATGAGCCCCGCCCGTGCCCCGTTAGACCACGCCCCATCTTGGACAGGCCCCGCCCACCCCTGGATCCACACACACACCCCCCCCCCCGCCCCCCCCCCACCTTCCCCCCC